TCATTATGTATATTGCTCAGAGTAATCCATTAAACGACTCCTCATTCTTTCTCTTTGAAAAGAAGTGTTGCCCTCTCAGACCTCGCGTCTGCTCCATCAAAACCCAATCTTTGCTTTCAGACGGTAATTCTTCATTGTCCGAACACTCATTGACGGCTTGACAGGGGCACAAAAAATTTATTCTATAATTTTCTTCATTGCACCAGATAAAACCATCAATCACTGATAGTAATACTTTTTTTCTTTCTCTTGAAATACCACAAAAAAAAAAAATTGTTATTATGTAACTAACATGCGTAAAATGAGTTGGTTCTTTAATCTGTCCATTCATTATTTGTTAAGAATTAAGTAATTAATTTATGTTTATTAATTTTTATTTCAGTCATGTTAAGAAATTAATTATAAATTTGTTAAATAACATTCTGTCTATGCTATTGGATTTGCAAGAAATTTCATTCGACTTTCACCATTTAAAAACATTGAAATTACTTTCTTGACATTTCAATACATCTATCTAAAAAATCTTGCTAAATATAATTCTTAGTTTAACAAATTCTTAACAGTTTTTATTTCAATTCTTTTTTACTTTTACTTTCAACTTTTATTCAATTCTTAACAGTTAAATTTAACAGTTTTTTTCTTAAACAAATCTTAACAAATATAACAAATGTGAAACAAAACTAATCTAAACTAATTTCTCCAAGGACAAGACAGTTTCGACGACAAATTTGCGCAGAAAAAAATTATTAATTAATTTAATGTTAAATATTAAATATTAAACTGTTATTAATAATAAAAATTATTTTTATTAAATAGAAATTTTTTATTTATTCCATGTGCTGTTAAAGTAAATACTAGATATTAAAAAAAATAATAAATTTCTCATTTTTACACACTTAAATGCATCGAAATTGATGTTCGATTTTTACATCAGTATGTTAATCAAAAGCAAACATAAGTATATTTTGTTCATTTCTGATATAAGAATCTTATTCTTGATGAATGATACTGCAGTATATCTGAAAAAGTAGTGTGCAGGTTGTGTAACCAGATTGTAACTGGGTGTGGATGAGTTGTGATACTTTGAGCCACAGGAAGGAGAACTCACAGCTTATCTACACAATCACACACATCACTCATATACAGTTAAAAGTATTTAATATTTAAAACATTTAAAGACAGATAATTGTAGATTTGTGGAAGGATTCCACTTCTAAGCCGAAAACTCAATACACGACTACGTGCAGGGTGCGAAATATACTTCTTCTCTTGGTGAGGGTCTGTAGGCCAACTAATTTGCTGGATATGCACTAAATATATATTCCTTTCTTGGATGAGACTGTAAACTAAAACTCATAAACTATAAATTAATTATACAAAAACTAAACTAAAAACTAAAACCTTATTATACTAAACTAAACTATAAAGTATAAACTTATTTTCATATTAAAATAAACTTATAAACTATAAACCTATTACACTAAACTAAACATAAAACCATAAACTTATTATACGAAATTAAACTTATAAACTATAAAACTAAAACAGTTGCTCTGCAATTCCTTTCGGATGAGTGTCTCGAGGCCGACTGATCTTTCCCCTGAACTCCACAGTGAGCTCTTACCATTGTGTAGAAGGGAGTATAGTAACAAGATTCAATATATGAAATCTGGATATCATAAATATGCATACAAATTTTATTTGCACATTGTTTATATTGCCTTCGTTATCTGTCTCTGTAATCTATGCATTTTTCAAATCTATCTATGCATTTTTCTGATTTATGCATCTATGCATTTTGACACGTGTATATCCTTTTCCCTTTGGTGATATATAAATTCCCAGCGAATATTTGTGTGAGAAATAATTCAGCGAGAACCAGCCGTATTTTATCGAAACAGATTGCGATTATTTTGAAACAACAACACAGTTTTCTCAAAAAGACAGGAAAAGAAGGAAAACTGCAGAGATAACAATGATATTTTCACTGCTGCAGAACGGGTATTAGATACGTTATTTGTCGAGTGAACTGAAGCAATTTTTTTCTGTATTTATTTTCGAAGTTGTTACTTTTGTTGAGACAAACATTCCTGGATGATAAGATATCACGCATCCAAATATTTATCTTGGCTGATTTCTTTGTCTCTCGTATTTGGAAAATGATCATTGCTTTCTCTTGTTTGCAGAGGATTAAGTAAGAGTTTCTGTTTGCTCAGTTTATTACTCGGGGAATAAAGGATTGCCTCTAAAATACGATGACATCCACATTTGAGAGAATTTTTTATATATACCGTATAAAGATTTGTAGATTTAAGGAAAAATCAAACATTTGTTCGTGTATTTATTTTCTTGATATGTTAGTGATGTCTCTAATAAACTGCTTGGCTTTTGTTGATGTTCCATTATATAAGAGATTTAGATGTCGTAATTTAAATACAGCCAATTACTAGTGTCGTAGTGAAGCAGTAAATCATCCTAAGTTTGAATTTGAAATTCGTTTTACTTTTTTTATGTTTGAAATAACTTATAAACTTGTTTATGTTAAAAAAAGGATATATACTGTGCCCAAAAAGTAAGACCAATTTTCAATTTTAAATTCACGGGCCTTAGGGAATTTCAATTTTTCTTTTCCTTTTTTAAGTTGCTGGCTCTGTCATTGACATCTGTGTGAAATTTGACGTCAAAATATTCACTAGTGTTTGAGTTATGCTTAGCTTTGTGAGACGCTAAAACTGATTTCGATGATTTTTGAAATGTCTGAATTAATTGAGCAAAGAACTCGCATTCAATTTTGTTTGCGGAAACGTATAAAATGTTGGAGAAGGTATTCGGTGAGCATTCCTACATCAGAAAGAAATGTTTATAAGTGGTATAGACAGTTTAAAGAAGGCAGTGTAAGCGTTGAAGACGAAGAACCCTCTGGTCGACCCTCCACCTCAACCGACGAAGCTCACGTCCAAAAAATTAAACATGCTTCCATGCTTGCAAACCGTCGATTTACAATTAGGGACCTTTCTAATGATGTTGGAATTTCGAAAGAATCGGCTAGTTCCATTTTGGGCCGCAAACGCGTCCAATCACGATTGGTACCAAAAACACTGAATGCTTCACGTCACACTGCATTGATTCTTCGTGGCTTTTTCCACCAAAAATGAAAATTGAAAATAAAATTTAAGAATCAACAATTTAAAAAAAAAATTATTAAAAAAGATTTGTTGATTTAAGGAAAAATACAACATTTGTTCGTGTTTCTTGTTATGTTAGTGATGCCTTTAATAAACTGCTTGACTTTTTGTTGATTTTGCATTATAAAAGAGATTTATAATGCATAATTCAAATACAGCTAATTACTAGCGACGTAGTGAAGTCACAACTTGCAGCAAATCATCCTTAGTTTGAATTTGAATTTCGTGTTATTTTTTAAGTTTGAAATAACTTATAAATTTATTTATATTAAAAACAAGTTATATAAAAAAAAAAATTTTTAAAGTCGATTCCTACTTTTATTCCACTAAATTGCAGAAAGTCCTTTATAAATAAAGTTGAAATTTTCCCCTCACATCCGGCGCCATCTATTGGTAGATACATGCAACTTAAATCTGAAAAAAACTAAAATTAATTAATTTAATTTAATTAATGAATTAATATTCGGAAAAACTGTATTAACATTATTAACATTAAGTATCATCCACTACAAGTTAAAAAAATGTATTTGAACTTGTGGAGGAAAAAAGTATTATATTAACGATTAAAAATTTGAACAAGTGTGTGAACTAAGGGAGTGTGTGAACTAATTGAAGAAATTAAAAAAAAGCTATATAAAATGGCAATCATTTATAAACAAATTTTTTTTTTTATAGTCCATACAAGAAATTTGTTGACGTGCGCAAAGTTTCTAAACATTAATTGAATGGTAGAATATATTTTAAATTGAAAATAAAATTTACGAATCAACAATTTTTTTATATAATTTTTTATTAAAAAGAATTTGTTGATTTAAGGAAAAATCATACATTTGCTCCTGTTTTTATTTTCTTGTTATGTTAGTGATGCCGTTAATAAACTGCTTGGCTTTTGTTAATTTCGCATTTTAAGAGAGATCTAGATGTTATAATTTAAATACAACCAATTACCAGTGTCGTAGTGAAGTCACAACTTGCAGCAAATCATCCTTAGCTTGAATTTGAATTCATAGTTGAATTTGTTATTCGAGTTATTTTTAAGTTTGAAATAACTTATGTTGTTGTTTCTTATCCCACTTGACTGGCCAAACCCACGAGACCATACGTACTCATGATTGAAGGGGAAGGAAGCAGCTTCTGTTGTTATGGAGCACCCGTAGGTAGAAGTCTGACTTTTGCTCCGTGACGCTCTTACAGTCATAGGAGACCGGGACCTACGGCTTAAAGTGGATTTCGAACCATTACAAACATCCATGGCACCGCCGGGATTCGAACCCGAAACCTGTGGCACCGAGCGCCAGTGCGCTGGACACTCGGCCATTCAGGTCCCAAATTTGTGGGAAAAATTGCCAACGGCACGCGGTGTTCCCAGGTGGTCACCCACCCAAGTACTGACCGCTCCCAATGATGCTTCACTTCGGTGATTGCTGATGTTCTGATATTTGTATATAGACTTTTTCTCTTCTTTTATATTTAATCAAGCTAAGCCACCTGCGTGTGGCCTCAGTTCCCACCTACGTGTGGATGATTTATTTTTGTATTCCTTTTTGTAACTTGTCCCTATAATTTTTAATAAATCCGAGTTCCTCGGCGATCCCCCGACGTCATGTCACGTCACACACCCCGCCCCCCGCCCCCTACACTTTCTATTATTTACTATTTTATTATTACTGTTATACCACCTTCTATTAATTTGCATCCCCGTTAATTTTTATTATTTATTAGTAATTGGGGCTAAAACCTTTGGATACGGAACCCCTTTCTCCCCACACCCCCCTCGAATGACTTGACTTCGGTGATCTAACGAGAACCGGCATATTCAGCATGGTATGGCCGTTGGCTAAAATAACTTATAAACTTGTTTATGTTAAAAAAAAAAAGAGATATATAATGGAAATCATTTATAAACAATATATATATATATATACATATATATATATTATGTTCGTGCAAGAAATTTGTTTATGTGTGCAAAGTTTCTAAGCATTCGTTGAATGGTAAATTATATTTTACATTTTTTTTGCATTTCAATAAGTTTTTGAATATTTTGGTTCTTACTTTCATGTTATTGTAGTGACGTTTTGAATAAATTGCTGTTTTGTATTGACTTTTGCATTAAAGAGAGAGTTTTTGCTATTAGAATATAGAAAAAAAAAAAAAAAAAAAAAACAATCACAAGCATCTTAGTGCTGCGGCAACTTGGAATATGTTAGCTTGAAATTGGGTGTTTTGAATTTGAAATTCGTGTTATTTTTAGGTTTGGAATAACTTATAAACTTGTTTATGTTAAAAAAAAGGGTATATAATGGAAATCATATTTTTTTTTTTTTTATGGTCCGTACAAAAAAATTTGTTTCCGTATGCAAAGTTTCTAAGCATTCGTTGAATGGTAGATTGCATTTTATATTGAAAATAAAATTTACGAATCAACAATTTTTAAAAAATTTTTTTATTAAAAAGATTTGTAGATTTTGGAAAAGTGAAGAAATTTCAGGCATTTGCATTTCAATGAGCTGTTTTATATTTTGGTTCTTATTTTCATGCTATTTTAGTGATGCTTTGAATAAATTGGTAGATTTTATTGATTTTGCATTAAAAGAGAGTTTGGCTATTAGCATATAGAAAAAACTAATCACTAGCATGTTAGTGCAACAGCAAATTGCAATTAGTTATCATCTTGGCTTAATTGGTTATTTTGAATTTGTAATTTGTGTTATTTTTAGGTTTTATAATAACTTATAAAATTGCTTCCATGGAAAAAAGGGATTTCTTAATTATTATTTTTTTTCCACACTGACAAATTTGAAGGATAGCACAATTGTTTATGCTTGGCTAGTTTCCTTTAATTTGATGAATACCAGATTATATTTTACATAGAAGAATTACTTATTACTTTATATTAAAGTAAATAACTTATTATTTAAATAATAAATATTAAAGTATATTAAAGTAAATAATTTAAGTAAATTATATTAAAGTAAATACTTTAATATTATTTATATTTATACTACTTTATATTAAGCGTTTTTATGAAACAAATAATTTTATGCGTAAGTTGCAGCTCTTCAGTTTAGTTTATAACTGTGCTTTGTGTGCGTGTTTGTTATATAAGCAAATAAATTAATAACAAGGAACAATACATAAAATAACAACATTAACAATAATAATATATGACCTATAAATTAATGACAACATTAGCAACAATAACATTTCCATAATTTCCATTTTCATAAGTTGATTATAGGGGTTACTAAAAAATTGCCCGAATTAAAAAAAATAACCAAAAAAAAGAAAAACCAGTATTTGAAAGAGATTAAAATTCCCGATAGTATACGTATCAAGTTTATCAACTATATTTATATCTAATCTTTTGCATACAATCATATCTACTTTTTACACACAATCATGTCTAATTTGATTAACAGCATTCATTGAAGAAGGTTTCTTGGTTTGAAATCTACAGAGTAATTCTTATTCATTACAAACACACCAAAAGGAACAATACAAGAGAATTAATAGTAATAAAGTTCCCTAAATTCTGCAAAAGAAAATTAACCAACTGTTCTAAAATAAAAGAACGGATTCATTCCATACTCGCCCTTAATCTCTTTTTAAGATAAATCTTTTTTTTCTGAAACGGAAAAACAAAAAGTTTCGATGAGAAGTTTCCTCGACAATCGCTTGTCAACTGCGATGTCAGATATATTGGACAAATAAGGAAAAAAGGAATGTAGTATCCTGGGAGAAAAGGGGCCCTGCTCCATTCTATTCTCCACTCCCTTTTTTTTTTTTTTTTTTGTTCTACTGGTCGATAACTATGATCGTCGAGTCTATTGACTCGACAGAAGAATTGGCTTATTAAACACTCGTGTCGTTGAATTATTTCCTTATTTTTCTTATTTCTGGTCCCATTATTGACATTTTTGGATGCGTGGCATTAAAAAAATGATCGAATAGAATGAAAATTTGTTTTGGGACTTGGTAAGAATCGATATTTGAACATTTTATACCAATTTATTGTGATTCACCAATAAGTTCGATAGTTTAAAAATCTACTAAACTTATTGTAAGTAATATAAAACTGATAAATATATTTGTAACTATTAAATAATAAATATAATTACTAGTACATATATTTGTAAGTAATCAATTTATTTTGAGAATTGTAATGGTTTTACAATCATCATAACGATTCATTTGCTATTTGCACATTCTTGATTCAGTAACAACATGACTTTAACTTATTGCTATTCTATTAATATCTATTTCGCGTCTATTTATTATTCTAATCTATTTTAATATCTATTTTTATGTATTAATATAGGCCTGATGGCCGAGTGGCTAGCGCTCGGTCCCACAGGTATCGGGTTCCAATCCCTGCGTTGCCATGGGTGTTTGTAGTGGTTCGGAATCCACTTTAACCACAGGTCCTGGTCCTGATAGGATCGTAGGGCGTTACGGGGGCATTGTTACTCCTCGTCCGTGGCTTATCTTCAAGCTACACGCCTCCCCCTGGGTAGTGCAAAGTGATTAACATCGGTGCAGCCCTTATGGCATAAAAGATCACGGTCTATTTGTCAGCTGCATTAGAAAGAAAAAAAAAAGAATGTATTAATATATTTTTTTTGCATATAATTATGTCTAATTTGGTTAACAATGGTTAATTTGGCTTGGTTTGAAGGAGGTTTCTTGGTTTGAAAACTCATGGTGAACAGACCACGAAGGGAACAAACCTACATAATGAACAAAACAAAAGAACTAATAGAGTTCCTTAAATTCTGCAAAAGAAAATTAACCAAATGTTCTAAAATAAAAGAACGGATTCATTCCACATTCGCCCTTAATCTCTTTTTAAGATAAATCTTTTTTTTCTGAAACGGTAAAAACAAAAGTTTCGATGAGAAGTTTCCACGACAATCGCTTGTCAACTGCGATGTCAGATATATTGGACAAATAAGGAAAAAGGAATGTAGTATCCTGGGAGAAAAGGGAGCCCGGCTCTTTTCTAGTCTCCACTCCTTTTTTTTATTGTTTTGTTCTACTGGTCGATAACTATGATCGTCGAGTCTATTGACTCGACAGAAGAATTGGCTTATTAAACACTCGTGTCATTGAATTATTTCCTTATTTTTCTTATTTCTGGTCCCATTATTGACATTTTTGGGTGCGTGGCATTAAAAATGAATCGGATAGAATGAAAATTTCTTTTCGGTCTTGGTAAGAATCGATATTTGAACATTTTATAACAATTTATTGGGATTCACCGATAAGTTCAATATTTAAAATAAAAATACTAAACCCTTAATAATAAATATATTTGTAAGTAAATAATTTATTATGAAAATTATAATGGTTTTACGGGTTTGAACTGTGAGCAATATTAATAGATACGTATTAAAACACGTATTAAATACATTTGAACAATATTCTATAAATGTAAAAGTAATTACTATCCAAAAAATGAATAACAACAGGGATTGGTATTCAAGATATATAAATCAAATAATCACTTCTGTTTAAAACAGACAGAGACAAAAATACGATTTGGTTTTAATACGATTAATGATTTGTGATTAATAATTTTAAAAATCTCTTGGATGAATTTCTTCTTTTTATCAATTATTATTGCTTTCTTTCGGAGATGATTTAAAAACTTATGTCTTAACAAATGGGGCCTGATGGCCGAGTAGCTAGTGCTCTGGCGGTCGGCACCACAGGGTTCGAGTCCCGCCGGTGCAATGGATGTTTACAGTGATTTTGGAATACCATTTATACCGTCCCGGCCTAACAGGATTGTAGAGAGTTGCGGGGGTATTGTTGCTCCGCGTCCGTAGCTTATCTTCAAGCTACATGCACCTCCTGGGTAGTGCTAAGTGAGTAACGTCGGTGCAGCGCTTGCCTTAAGGCATCAAAGGCAACTGTCTAGTTGTTGAATTAGAAAAAAAAATTATAATGATTTTACAATTATCATAATGATTCATTTTCCATTTGCACATTATTGATTTGGTAACAACGTTATAGCATTGCTGCTTTAAACCATATCAATTTCTTTCCGACATAAACATAAGCTTTTCTATGTACCATGAGTTTTACTTTTTCATATTATTGTAATTCATTCTTAGATGCGTTTGACTTAGATATAGTCTTCTTCTTCTCCTTCATTGGCGCTACAGCCCCATGATGAGCTTACGCCTAACACTCTACAGTCATATTAGACCAGGGCCTACGGTTTAAAGTAGTACGGCTTGAGGCCGAAACCTGTCTACCGAGCGCCAGAGCGCTAGACACTCTGCCATTCAGGCCCATTAGCAAATCTAAGGGTACGTAGACTTTCGGAACACATGATATAGCTATTTTTCATACTACATTTTTGGTTCTAATGCAGCTCGCAAAAACTTAGACAATATCTTAAGTCAAACGCTGCGCCGACGT